TGATTCTATGACTTTACCGTGGTCAAGTGGAAAACACTTGGACCACCATTGTGAAATCCAGTAGATCACAATGACACCTTTTGTACCATTTCAGTGTAGAAATAAAACCCCTAATCCTTCCACAAGAATGACAATTTTATCTGTCCCTATTACTGTTTCCCTCATGTGGAAAACACATTGGAACGCCATGATTTTTGGACAGAAGACACTGTACCTGTCCTGCTTGGTCAACCCTACCAATGAACAGGTCTTACACAAGGGGCAGGGGAGAAAGAGGATGGAGTAATATACAGTTTAACAAGACTGTCACACAAAGAAAATAGATGAAGTCCCTGTTAAATTTATGTTCAGATAAAATAATTTCAGAATACTTACACCTCACAATTTACAGAATTTTTTTAGCAGCCGCAAAAGTAACATTGTGTAAATTTTACCCATGTTCCAAACGTTAACCTGCATGAAATCTGTTTCTTGTTCTCACTATTCCTAAATTACATGTTGCCACTATACTTATCACTTTGTAGCAATATGTACAATTAACAATTTCGTTCACACTTATGCAGTGTATTTAAATAGAAATCTTACACAGAATCAACTGAGCTATGCAGATCTTCAAGACACAACAAACAGTAATGTTTCAACATGGTAGATTCCACTTCCCTAGCTAAACTGCCAGTGAAAAGAAACATTATAGCAAATGACACCTCGTTGAATACATTCTTCTCCTTCACCACCTCTTTTACGCAGGCACCTATCCTAGAAAGGTTTTTCCCTTAGAATATTCAGCATTTCTGTAGAATAAATATTGCAAACACGAGAAGAGAATAGCTTGCAGGACAATCAGGTTCAGATGCTTGCTTGCAAGCATTTCAAAATCAGTGGCAAACTCTACAGCTTGTTTTTTTTCACAGTCTACAAATTTTAAAGGCCTGTGATACATTCTGTAGTAAATTTCACTTTTAAATAAAAAATTTAAAATATATAAATATTATCTTATTTTTCACTGAGAATAAATTGAGAGGAAAGCATCATCTGATCAACAAATCCAAGATATGAACTTTATGTAACATCCTATCCAGCTGTTAACATCTGCTAGCAGTGTCTAGCTTAAGAGCTTGACTGCTTACATCTGGACAAGGCGCAGCTGCCTCTGTGCTAAAAGCACATCTCCACTGTGAGTCTGGAGTTAACCACAGTGACTCTTACTGAAGCTGAACTGGAAAGTGGAAGCATAAGGAATCACAGTGCAAAGGTAACTGGCAGCCTAGCCAGTACCTGCAGTGCCACACAAATGCCATTAGGTGCTTTCTGGACTTTCACATCTGGAGGCACTATACTCCGCTGTGTGAGTCGACCAGTGTGGGTTGATACAGTTAATTCATGGTTCTCTGTATCATGCGTACAAGAATGCCATATACAAGCTCTGACATTTTGCCCTTCTAATTTTATTTATATATATTTTTGTTAAAGCAGTGCAGATCACAGTGCAGATGTGTTTCTACTGGCTCGTACTCGACTTCCCAGCTGCCAGTACTGTATACTACGTCACTGTCAGCCAGGCTGGGGACTGAAGTGATCAAAAAAATTAATGTATTCTGGAGCTCAGTCATGTTTAGAAATTATTCTGATCATCAAAATACTTAAAATTTTAGACTTTGTCCAATAACTCGGATACATAAGAGATTCCATTCACATACCTCTATCTGTAATGGCAAATGAAGATTAATTCTTTTCAATAATCCAAATTCACCTGAACCAGGTAGGAACTCAAGACATCATACTGCTGTTTAGACTCACCTTCCCAAAGCTGGCGGCATTAACAGGTTGCGTGTCATTTTTCTCACAGAAGTCCAAGTAATGCATGTAGAGAGCACTTCGAGGAATGCAAACACCTTCTGCAATCTCATAGTTCTCCTCCAGCCTTAAAAGCAAATATCAAACAGAGAGAACTGCAAGTATGTTGGATGTCCTGTATGGTAAACAGTATGCAAAGCTGCATCTTTAAGACCAAACATTCTGGCTTTGGCTTGTCTACTAAATTTTCTCTGCTTTGTTCCTAAGTGCTCCTTCTGATTCACTTCCATAATACTCGTTCCAGTTTGGTTCGTATTTGCTGTCAAAAACATAGACTGAGATTAACACAAAGGGATATTGAGTTTTGACCATGCTCCAAAGCATTATATTTAGGGAAAAAAATATACTAGTATCCTGTCATATCCTAAAACCATCCTGCAGTAAACACATATATGTACAACTATAGAACAACAAACATTCACTGAGAGGAAGCACTCTCTTATTCTTTACAGGACAGGTCAACAGTTCAACTTTAGTCCATGACAGTCTTTTCAGTCTTGTCCCGCTGCAAAATCCCTTACCTTGAGGAAACAGATGTGACTAAAGCAAGTTATTTGCAAATATTCAAGCGTGTGCACAAAATCGTATCTGTATAATGCTTTTTTTGCTATTGCTGATGGACAGTGTGAAAAAATGAGTCCACGATCTGAATACAATGCTGAATAAAATAGCAAAGTATCATACTCCTCTCCTCTGTAGAAACTATATACGATTCATTTATACATGCAAACACAGAGCTATAAAATTTTAGATTGTTCATCAAATACATGAACAGGCACAAGCTTCATCTTTAAAATCTGAAACTGAGCTCATTATAAAGCTATAGATTAGAAGAAACATTCCTTTGAAATAACATTTTTATGATCGTTGATCCAACAAAGTTCAAGAGGTATTTACGTGCACACTTATCTTTAAACCATAATTAATCTTGTCAGCCATGGTGTCACTCATACGCATGTATAGTTACATGCCTGCTTGTCTGTCTTGCTGGCTGGGAGAAAAAGGTAGGTGCAATTTCCTCTGAAGTGTATTAGAAAATTAATACATATTCTCAAAACTCTCCTATTTTACAGTAAATAACCCCCTGTCATTTGATAACTGTAGAACACCTTCCAAACATTTGGTTTTTCTCCTTCCTTGCCATTTTCAAGACCTACCTACCTTCCATTTCAGTTATCATGATCATTTGTGACTGCAAACTATTTTAATAAGATATCTAGCTAGATGAATGGGATTGGTTTGTATGGGCAACATCTATTCTTCCTTGGATTCCACAGAAATATCATTGTGGCATCTTTCCTCAAATTCATAGCACTTTAACAAAACCTCCTTTCAAAACCTGGAGAGTTCGTTTGTACACTATAGCTACTAATTGGAATGTCAGCTTCCATGACCAAGACAGGACAGAAAGAAAAGCAGTTAATTATTTCTGTTCATATCTGATGAATTTTTCCCTTTTTCTTCTCTCTTTCACAGAGAGTCATTAGTCTGACACTGAACAATGCTCCATTATACCTGAAGGTTTTTTTTAATGATCAAAACCCCATCTTGCTCCACTTCTTTTATTTTCCTGTCTTTTATTTAACAACTTTATCATATTTTGAATCCAGCTTCATTCTGTGGTATTGTAGAAAGATAATGAACTCAATCTTCTACCTAACAAATCATTATCACAAATAATATATCTATATATATATATATAACATTTTAAATGTCCTAATAAAGCCATATGAAATCCAGTAGTTCGCAATGACACCTTTTGTACCACTACAGTGTAGCAATAAAACCCCTAATCCTTCCACAGGAATGACAATTTTATCTGTCCCTATTACTGTTTCCCCCTTTATGCACTTACATACTTCTAGATTAAATGAGATTATTCTATAACAGAGTCAAGTCCGTAGTGTAGTTGCAGACTTGGTTTTAGATATGAACAACTGTGATGTTAACCATTGCTAATCACATAAAGGATTCTAGAACAGATTAATTTTGATGCGTTACAATAATTTCTAAGAAATTACTAACCTGGGGAGAATCCATTACCTGGCAAGGCTTTACCTTCCTCCTCTTTACTTCTTTTTACAAAAGAAAAATAGAATAGTTTTATGGACTTTACTGTCACAATACTGTTATTATTCAGAGCACCTCCTCTGTATGCCACCAAACTGCATGGAATTAGGCTGTCCGTGCTTTGAATAATTCTGTGTTTGGAGAAGTAGATACACACCCCAACCCCACCAACTGAGGTAAAATAAAGTTTCACACTTACAATTTGGTCAGTCAAATCACCAATGAAATAATCATGAACAATTCAGAGCCAAGTGTTTAGCAAGGTAGAGCTTTACAGATAATAATGAACACAGGACCATGGGATAAGCACAGGATACTAGGTGTTGGTACACTCATGCTTTAAGAGTTAAATTCACACTCGCATAGTTTCCCCAGTTAGGATGT